AAAAATTGACAGCATGAATTATTCAATTTGAAAGTTTATGATGGAAGATCATCTATACTGTAAAGATTTGTATGAGTCAGTATTGGATGATTCGGTTAAACTAGCAGATATGAAAGATGAAAGTTGAAAGAAGTTAGGTAGAAAGATGTTGGTTACAATCAAAAATGGGTTAATATCAGCGTATTTCATCATGTAACGCAGGAATCAGATGCTCACATTATTTAAAAAAAATTGACAGTATTTTATAAGAGAAAAATAGGTATGAATAAAGTTATGCTTTTAAAAAGCTTATAATTTTATATACAGGGATAGATGTATTGAGTATTAATTTTTAAGATATATTTAATCGGATGATTACTATGAGCTTAAGATAGATGATGAAATGAAGTTGTTATTTTTTTTTAGTTCATTGTCAGACAGCTGGAATATTCTAGTTGTGACTGTTCTCAATTCAGCTACTGATTATAAGGTGACGTTGGAGATGATAAAAAATAGTATGCTTAATGAAGAAGTAAGACGAAAGGATGTAAATCTTGAGAATCGAGCTCTAGTCACAGAGAACAGGGATAAAAACATTGACAGAGGTCAGGACTCAAAAGGTCGTGATAAGTTTAAACATAGATCCAAGTCTAGAGGTAAAGTAAAGTGTTTTCATTGTGGTAAGGCAGGTCATATAAAACGAAACTGTAGAATCTTAAAGCAAGAGCGAAAAGATAAGAAAGATAAGAGTTCAGATGATGACAATGTTACAACAGCGAATTCAGATAATGATTCAGTTATTTTAATTTGTACACATGATGATTGTAATCATGTTAGTGATCCCGACGTTGAGTGGATAGTTGACACAGGAGCGACATATCATTATGTTTTTAAGAGAGTTGTTTACAACTTACAAAGTAGGAGATTTTGGTTGTACCAAAATGAGAAACAAGAGTGTGTCACAGATTATTGGGATTGATGATATTGTTGTACAAACTAGTATATGTTGCATGTTGACTTTGAGGGATGTCAGACACATTTCAGATATGAGAATGAACTTACTTGCTATTAATGTCCTTGATAAGGAAGAATATGAAAGCCGACAAAAGAATGAACAATGAAAGCTTCTCAAATGATCTATGGTAGTTGCAAGAAGAAAATTATGCTGCATAATGTATAAGACATGGATGCAATTGAATGATAACTAGGTAAATATCGTTGAAAATGATGCTTCAGCAAACTTGTGGCATAGGAGGTTGGCACACATGAGTGAAAAAAGGTTACAGGTTTTGGCAAGACAGTTTTTCATTTCCTTGACCAAAGGTATGTCTTTCGATTCATGTGATTATTGTTTGTTTGGTAAGCATCATAGAATTTCTTTTCGTAAAAGTTCTAAAAGAAAAGAGAATAGATTGAAATTAATTTATTGAAATTAATTTATTCTGACGTATGTTATTTCATTGAAGTTGAGTCATTAGGTGGTAGCAGATATTTTGTTACTTTTATTGATAATGCTTCACGTAAGACTTAGGTGTATATGTTGAAATACAAAAGTCAGGTACTGCAGTATTTTTAAAAATTTATGCCATGATTGAGAGGATGACAGGATTACCCTTGAAGTGTATTCGAACTGATAATGGTGAAGAATACAATGAATCGCACCATTATGAAAAAAGTTAGATGTATGTTGAAGATGATAAAATTACCAAAATCATTCTGGGGTGAAGCAGTCAACACAGCTTGTTATTTACTTAACAGGTCACCATCAGTTCCTTTGGGCTTTGACATTCCAGAAAGAGTGTGGACAAGGAAAGATACTTCATACTCTCACTTAAAAGTTTTTGGGTGTAAAGTATTCATGCATGTGTCGAAAGAGAAAAGATCAAAGCTTGACAGTAAAGTTACACAGTGTGTGTTTATAGGATATGATGATGAGAAATTTAGCTACAGGGTATGTGATCCAGTAAAGAGAAAGACAGTTAGAAGCAGGGATGTGGTCTTTCATGAAAAAGAAACCATAGCAGACTTTGAGAAAAATAAGAAGACTACACAGGTTACTGTTGAGTGTGATGTTTCAACATCGATAGAGATTTCACAAGAAAGAGCCACAGATGGTAAAAATGAGCAAGAAACAAAACTTGAGGATATGAATGAGCCAATTACAGTTGGTGATGAGCCAGATGCTATTAGTTTTGAATAGGGAGAGCAATCTTCTCGACCTGAGAGTGTTAAGTAGGGGGAGCTACTTTTGACATCAAGTGATGTAGAGTCTCAGTCTAGGAGATCTACTAGAGAGCGCAGGCCATCTACCAGATATCCAAGTTTAGATTTTATTTTAGTTACCAGTGAAGGGGAGTCAGAAAGCTTTCAAGATGTGCAAGCTACTCCGGATAGAGAGCACTAGTTAAAAGTAATGAAAGAAGATATAGAGTCATTGCTGTAGACACCTAATTAGGTTCAGGCCCAGATCAATTGGGTATGGCCCGAATGGATAAGGCCCAATTTAATTTTTATCCTGTATTATTATTATTATTTTTTCTTTGTATTTTATGTATTTTATTATTTATTATTATTATTATGTATTAACATATGTATATCTTTATTTATTTATTTATTTTTTTGTATTTTATTTATATAGTTATATATTTATTATTATATCATTATTATTATTATTATTTGGGTTTATCTTATTTTATTTTTTATTATTATTTTTTAAAATTATCTGTTAATTTTATCTGATTTTTTTTCTTGATTATCTGATTAGTATTATTATTTTTTTGTTTTTTTTTTTTGATGACTGTGATTGAAAGTTGAAGAATTTCATTGTGAATGACAATTCAATCAGAAGAGTCTAGATTGGATTCAAAGATTGAATTTTCGTCCAAGGAGGAATTGGGATTGATTAGAAATTCCTGATCAATCCCTATAAAATGGACCTCTGGAACAGAATGAAGGACACACAGAACAAACAATGAGCAAAGCTACTGATTTGAGAGAAAAAGAGGCGTATAGGAAGCTGAGAAAAGGTTTAGGAGTGTTCGGGGAGTTAGCAGAAATTTTTTGAGAATATATCATTTTAACTTCAATTTTCATGAAAATATATAAGTTGTAAAAAAAACCAAAAGATTAAGAAAAAAAAAACAACATAAATAATATTTAAAAATAAAAAATTATTAACACAGCATAAAAATAATAAATATACTAACAACTGATGTAAATTAAGTTAATGTTTTATTTTTATGATAATATGAAATTAAAAAGGAAAAGCTAATTAAGAAAGAATATTGGAGTTGGTCCAAAGTTTAGTAGAGAGAATATATTACTTATAATAATTATGATATAATTAAGTAAACATAATTTAAAGTTGTGTAAAATTTATAAAAATTTTACATAAAATTTATATTTATAAACAATAAATTTTTATATAATTTTTATGATAATTAAGTAATTATAAAATTATAATAAAAATTATAAATAAAACGCTCTCTTAATAAAATAGCTATATTCTTTGATTTTCATAATAGGCTCCATTATGTTTCCAAGATAAAGGTATCATGGGTGCCTGATTGAAAGGAGGGTACTGAAATTAATTAATTTTCAATTATTATATTTTTTAATCTAAATTTATTAACATTTCAGACATGATTAATTTTTACATACATTACTAATTAATCACTTTAAAATTAAGTATAATCGCTTAAGTTTCATTGATAATGGATATCCATCCGCATTGATTTAAGAGTTAATAGAAAGTTTTCTCAAAGAGGAAAAGAGTTAATACAAGATGAGGAACAAGGCCGCATATAAACAAAAAGTTCGCTTACTTTTTGTTAGACAAAATTTTGCTGGTATGAAATTTGCTTTAAATTATTATATGAAATCAGATTTATTGAATCTAAGTATATAAATATTGTTGACAGCACTTGTCTTGAAGGACAATAACTTGAATGAATCGAATCAGTCAAATATATATAAATATTACAAGCTGTTGACAGTATTATTTAATAGCATCAGGACAATAATTTCAATGAATCATGACAATCAAACAAATAAACTTTATAGCTGTTTGACTTTTAATAGCATCAGGACAATAATTTCAATGAATCATAACAATCAAACAAATAAAACTTTATAGCTGTTTGACAGTACTGTTTAATAGCATCAGGACAATAATTTCAATGAATCATATCAATCAAGTAAATAAATTTTATAATTGTCTAATAGTATTTTTGTCAAAAATAAAGGTGTAATGATATATTAATATTCATAAATTATTCGAATTTTATTCGAAAAAAATTTAAATTTGGTTGATTATTTTTGAGTCAAGTTTAAATTCAAGTAATTTGATTTATCGATCGAATCGAATTTAAATATTTTTATATCCGATTCGAATAGTTCGTGAGCTTAATCGAACTTTTATATTTAAATATATTTTTATTATTTTAATTAATAAAATATTTCGAATCCGAATTCGAGTTCGAGTTCGAGTATGAATAATTGAATTCTTATTGAGTATACGAATCGAACTTATTTTTACATATTAATCAAACTTAATCGAGCGAACAATAATAATTCGAATTCGATCACGAATTGAACTCAAACTTAAAAAATAAAATTCGATCAAATTCAAATCGAATAACGAATCTCAAATTATGAGTCGAATTTAAACTTATTACTATTTGACTCGATTCAATTATATCTCTAATCAAAAATAATAATTTCAATGAATCGTAACAACCAAATAAATAAATTTTACAATTGTTTCATAGTACTGTTTAACAGTATCAGGACAATAATTTCAATGAATCATGTTAATTAAATAAATAAACTTCACATTTGTTTGACAGTATTTGTTGTCACGGATAATAATTTCAATGAAACATGCCAATCAAGTACCAATGAATAATGACAATCAAATAAATAAACACTACAGTTGTTGATAGCACTGTTTAATTGCACCAGTAGATTTTTTTTTTTTATCTATTTATTTTATTTTTTTTATAAAAAATTTTCAATCGGAAGAGTCATGATTTTTTTTAATTTTAATTTTTATATTTAATTATAAAATATTTTAGAAAGTAGGATCCACTTTTTTTCACCATTGGCATTTTATTATTATTTTTTTTACATATTTTCTTTTTCAATGGATTCACTGTTTTGAGATACTACTTTTTGTTTTTTTTTCAGTTTTATTTTTTATATATATTTTTATTAAAATATTAATTTATCTCGCTTGTTAAAGCCACATCTTCTGGCAATTATCCTGAACCAAAGATCTCCGGGGGTTGCCCGGAGGCAATGGAAATGATGGCGAAACGACCAAAAATAATGGAAAAAGAGGGTTTTTGGAGACTGTTGATTTGAAACTTAACCTTTCAACAACTAAGGAGGCGATGGCGAACGAAACTGAAAAGATGAAGGAGAAGAGCTCTGTTGCTCCTCTATCTACTGACCCTGCAAAGCCCCCTGCAAAGTAAGCTACCCATATCTTTTCTTGGTTATCTTGTTTCTCAATATTTGTTTTTTTTTCCGTCTTTTTGTTTGTTTGTTTTTTTTTTTTTTTCATTTCATTTCCTTTAGAATGAAAGTTCATTTGATTAATAATGAAATCAAGAAGTGAGCATGCATTTGCATATGCATCAGTTAATTTATTTTTCAGTGAAATTAATTTCTTGTTTTTAGGGGTTTTTTTTTTTCTTTCAATTGTTGAATATTAATTTGGAATTGAAGAAGATGAGTGTCCATTGAATCTTGGCTTTGTAAAGTGAAAAAACAGTTTAATTTTGATATTTGATGGCTTTGGTTGTTTGTCGGGAAAAATAGGGAAAAGAACAAAACATGTGGAATCTCTACTACTTTTTTCCTAACAACCAAACAATAATTCAAAGTTTTTAACAGGAAAATGCCTAAGATAGTCCACAGCTAAGCTACCAAACATTGGTAAATGTCAAAAGTATTACCACATTCACCTTCTCAAAAGTTGATAATAATATTTTTTACAATAAAATCCAAAAAATAAAGGAAAATCAGAATGGAATTCCAATAATTTTATGTTATTTCATTCCTATGACCAATATGATTAATGTTATGATAAATTTAAAATGATCTAGTAACTTAAATTTGAGGGCACATTAAATTTCAGGGCACAAGTGGTGGGATGGTCACCATTTTAAGAAAATGAGATCCAGTCTCATGTAAGTAGTTTTGAATCAAGTAAACTCATAGGCTTTGATCTTTTATTTTACACAGAGCTTTTGCTACTTAATAAAAAAGTGGTGGAGTTGTTTTAGGTGTGTGTCGAAAATTAAGTAGAGAAAAAAGAAAAGTCAAGAAAAGTAGAGACAGAAAAAAAAGAAGGGAGAGTTGATTGAACGGAAGTCGATCCGTGGTCCGATTGAGTTAAAACTTTGTCAGGAGGTTTATGATTCAGAGTTTTACATTTTTAACAGTGAAGATCGGGTTTGAAGCTCCCTAGGAACAAATTCATGGTGTATTTGTTGAGTCACTTATTTGGTGAGATTTTTTTAATTGTTTCTCTAGTTGTTGATTAGCTTTAGTTTTAGCTAGAGAAGAACCTTGTATAACTATTATTTGATAGTGAAGATTTTTCTGGTGGTCTGTGATTTTTTACACTGGAGGGTTTTTCACTAAATTTTGGTGTGCTTTATTTTTTTTACGTATTTGATTATTGATTGTTGTCTATTGTTTCTGTATTGTTGTGATTATTACTTCAGGCGCAACAAGTGGTATCAGAGCAAAAGTTATTTTGAAACATCGATACAGAAGCAACTCAAGATAAAAGTAAATTCTGTTTGAGATCATGGAGGGTGATACAAGTTTCATGATAAAATTGACAGCATCGAATTATTCAATTTGAAAGCCTATGATGGATGATCATTTATACTGTAAAGATTTGTATGAGCTAGTATTGGGTGATTTGGTTAAATCAGTAAATATGAAAGATGAAAGCTGAAAGAAGCTAGGTAGAAAGACGCTGGCTACAATAAAAAAATGGGTTAATATCAGCGTATTTCATCATGTAGCACAGGAATCAGATGCTCACATTATTTAAAAAAATTGACAGCATTATATGAGAAAAAAATAGGTATAATTAAAGTTATGCTTATTAAAAAATTTATAACTTTACAGTACAGGGATGGACGATTTGTTACAGAGCACTTAAGTTATTTTTAAGATATATTTAATCGGATGACTACTATGGAGCTTAAGATGGATGATGAAATGAAAGCGTTATTTCTTTTGGGTTCATTGTCAGACAGTTGAAATACTCTAGTTGTGATTGTTCTTAATTCAGCTTCTGATTATAAGGTGACATTGAAGATTGTAAAAGACAGTATGCTTAATGAAAAAGCAAAGCGAAAAGATGTAGATCCTGAGAATCAAGTTCTAGTCACAGAAAATAGGGATAAAAACATCGACAGAGGTCAGGACTCAAAAGGTCGTGTTAAGTCTAAAAATAGATCCAAGTCTAGAGGTAAAGTGAAGTGTTTTCATTGTGGTAAGGTGGGTCATATAAAATGAAACTGTAGAATCTTAAAGCAAGAGCGAAAAGATGAAAAAGGTAAGAGTTCAAATGATGGCAATGTTGCAGCAGTGAATTCAGATAGTGATTCAGTTACTTTGATTTGTACACATAGTGATTGTAATCATGTTAGTGATCTCGGTATTGAGTGGATAGTTGACACAGGAGCGACATATCATTGTATTTCTAAGAGAGAGTTGTTTACAACTTACAAAGCAGGAGATGTTGGTTGTACCAAGATGGGAAACAAGAGTGTGTCACAGATTATTGGGATTGGTGATATTGTTGTACAAATTAGTATAGGTTGCATGTTGACTTTGAGGGATGTCAGACACATTTCAGATATGAGAATGAACTTGCTTATTATTAATGTCTTTGATAAGGAGGAATATGAAAGTTGACAAAAGAATGAACAATGGAAGCTTCTCAAAGGATCTATGGTAGTTGCAAGAGAAAAATTATGCTGTACAATGTATAAGACATGGATGCAATTGAACGGTAATCAGATAAATACCGTTGAAAATGATGCTTCAACAAACTTGTGGCACAGGAGGCTGACGCACATGAGTGAAAAAGGGTTACAGGTTTTGGCAAGGCAGTCTTTCATTCCCTTGACCAAAGGTATGTCTCTCGATTCATGTGATTATTGTTTGTTTGGTAAGAATCATAGAGTTTCTTTTTGTAAAAGTTCTTAGAGAAAAGAAAATAGATTGAAATTAATTTATTCTGACGTATGTGGTCCCATTGAGGTTGAGTCATTAGGTGGTAGCAGATATTTTGTTACTTTTATTGATGATGTTTCACGTAAGACTTAGGTGTATATGTTGAAATATAAAAGTCAGGTATTGCAGTATTTTCAAAAATTTTATGCCATGGTTGAGAGGATGACAGGGTTACCCTTGAAGTGTATTCGAATTGATAATGATGGGGAATACACATCTAAAGACTTTGAAGAGTATTGCTCAAAGCATGGGATCAGGCATGAGAGGACAGAACCTGGAACACCGCAGCATAATGGTGTAGCTGAAAGAATGAATCGCACCATTGTGGAAAAAATCAGATGTATGTTGAAGATGTTAAAATTATCAAAGTCATTCTGGGGTGAAGTAGTCAATACAACTTGTTATTTACTTAACAGGTCACCATCAGTTCCTTTGGGCTTTGACATTCCAGAAAGAGTGTCGACAGGGAAAGGTACTTCATGCTTTCACTTAAAAGTTTTTAGGTGTAAAGCATTCATGCATGTGTCGAAAGAGCAGAGATCAAAGCTTCACAGTAAAGTTACACAGTGTGTGTTTATAGGATATTGTGATGAAAAATTTAGCTACAGGGTATGGGATCCAGTAAAGAGAAAGACAGTCAGAAGCAGGGATGTGGTCTTTCATGAAAAAAAAACCATAACAGACTTTGAGAAAAATAAGAAGACTACACAGGTTACTATTGAGTATGATGTTTCAACACCGACAGAGATTCCACAGGAAAGAGCCACAGATGGTGAAAATGAGCAAGAAACAGAACTTGGGGATATGAATGAGTCAGCTATAGTTGGTGATGAGCCAGATGCTATTAGTTTTGAATAGGAAGAGCAATCCTCTCTACCTGAGAGTGTTGAGCAGGGGGAGCTATCTTCGGCATCAAGTGATGTAGAGTCTCAGTCCAGAAGATCTATTAGAGAGCATAGGTCATCTATCAGGTATCGAAGTTCAGATTTTATTTTAATTACCAGTGAAAGAGAGCCAGAAAGCTTTCAAGATGTGCAGGCTACTCCTGATAGAAAGCACTGGTTAAAAGCAATGAAAGAAGAGATGGAGTAATTGCGAAAAAATGATACTTATGATCTTGTTAAACTTTTCAGAGAAAAGCTTGAGCTTTGCAGTAACTTAGCCGGAATGAGTTCCTTGGTCAAGGTAAGTTCCAAATGAAACTGCTATGGTGATGAATCTCCTCTTAATGGGGCTGAAGGGGGAGATTGTTAGAAAAATGGGGTCCAGTCCCATGTAAGTGGTTTTAGACCAAGTAAAGGCCATGGGCCTTGATCTTTTATTTTAGACAGAGCCCTAGCTACTTAATAAAAAAGAGGTGGGGTTGTTTTAGGTATGTGTCGAAAACCAAGTAGAGAAAGAAGAAAAGCCAGGAAAAACAGAGAGAGAGAGAAAAAAAGGGAGAGTTGGTTGAACGAAAGTCGATCCGTGATCCGATTGAGTTAGAACCTTGTCAGGCGGTTTATGATTCAAAGTTTTACATTCTAAACGGTGAAGATCGGGTTTGAAGCTCTCTAGGAACAAATCCAGGGTGTATTTGTTGAGTCACTTATTTGGTGAGATTTCTCCAATTGTTTCTCTAGTTGTTGATTAGCTCTAGTTTTAGCTAGAGAAGAACTTTGTATAACTATTATTTGATAGTGAAGATTTTTTTGGTGGCCTGTGATTTTTTTCCTCTACACTGGAGGGTTTTCCACGTAAATCTTGGTGTGCTTTATTTTTTCTGCGTATTTGATTATTGATTGTTGTCTATTGCTTTTGTATTGTTGTAATTATTGCTTCAGGCGCAACACATAAGTCAGATCCTTCCGGAAGAACATCATGGCCGTCCAGAAGAACAGCTCCGAGGAAGAGGCCGGCGAGAAGGCTGGCAGCAGTACTGCCACCAACACCACCAGTGCAGCAGCGTTTGTTAAGGTCAGCATGGATGGTGCACCCTATCTACGCAAGGTGGACTTGAAATTATACAAGAGTTACCAAGAACTCTATGATTCCTTGGGCAAAATGTTCAGCTCCTTTACTATTGGTAATTAATAAGCCCAAAGTACAATTTTGTTAATTTTAGGCAAATTAATGTGAAGATGTGAATTAAATTTTGGGGGGATTAATGTTTTAGGTAACTGTGGGTCACAAGGAATGAAAGATTTCATGAATGAAAGCAAATTGATAGACCTCTTGAATGGTTCTGAGTATGTTCCAACTTATGAAGACAAAGATGGAGATTGGATGCTTGTTGGTGATGTCCCATGGGAGAAAGTTTTTAACTTCAATTTTACATTTTCTAATTAATTGGCATATTTATTTTATGATTAAATCTTACTAATTTATATTTTTTTTTGCTAAATTTATAGGATGTTCGTTGATTCATGCAAACGACTGAGAATCATGAAAGGATCTGAGACAATTGGACTTGGTTAGTAACTATTAATTCTATATAATCATGACTGTTCAATCTTAATTATTGATTTGATTTTCATAGAATTTGCAGCTCCAAGAGCAGTAGAGAAGTGCAAGAACAGAAGTTGAAGCAGTTTCACAAACAACAATCTCAGTTGAAATCAAACGTTACAAAGATAAAAAACAGAGCGGCAAACCGGCTCGAGTATAGGGATTGAGTAGGGAGTTTGAATGTGTTCATCAGCATGAAGAAAAAAAAAATTATGAGGAATATATTGGGAGATTTATTAATGGACAAGAAATCAAATAATAGGAAATCAATAAGACTTTGCTTTTCTTCTGTGTAACCCTGTTTTATTGTCAATGGCTTGTTTAATAATTTCTTAAAAATATTAATGTTTTTAGTTGTCATGAGTGTTTTTTTTTTTTTTTTCACTCTATTTTGTAATATTATTGCATGTATTTTTTTCAATGTAATGTATGAAAAGATTCTCTGAATTATGTATACTTTTTATTATTATTATTTCATAAATTTTATAATGTTTTTGTAATTGGTTGAGGAGACAAATAAACAAGATCCATGAACAAAGTGATAAGGCAGAGCAAGGCCATGTGCAAAGGAAACATTTAAGAATCAATCATTACTTTTTTTTTTTAGTTAATTTTCATTGCTGATTTTGTATATTTTTATTGCAAGTTGTAGACAAGTGTGGACCTTAGAATTATTTTGAAAATTTTAAAATTATTATAAAAATAATATTTTCATTGAATATATTGAAAATCATGAATAGAGTTGTCAATATTATATTTAATATAAAATTATTGAAAATCTGAATTTTCAATATAAACACATTACATTTACTACAAAATTCCTTTTCTTTTAACACTCGAGTTATACACAATTATTGAAAAATGATATATATGATTCATAATTATTTGATAATAAATAAAGAGATTCAAAATTATGTAAATAGGTTAATGGTTTTGATTGAGTTGATAATTCTTCGCTTGTACGATTTAAATTTTGTTTTCGTTGCCAATTATTTTTTTTTTGAATGATTTGTAAATTTAATGTAATTCATTGTTGAATTTAAGTCTATGATATATTTTGATCTTGAAGTGAGATAGCTTCTCCACACTTTTTTTTTGTACAAGAAAAAATTATGTACATAGATATAAAATAATGTCATTATATTTAGTATGGAATTCAGTGACATTAAACCAAAAAGAAAATGGAACATAAAAAAAGCATTCCTATTGATAGTCAAAACATGGAGGTGTGGGAAATGTCTTTGCAATAAGGTGAATGAACCATGTTCTATAACCAAATTTGACTGGCATTTTGGTTTCTAATGACTTTGAAGCAGCTCAAGACAAAGCATATATAAATTTATTCTTAGGCAGGCTTCTTAATTGAAAAAAAATGGTTAACTAACTAAATATCTTTGAAATTATTGGCTTTAATTAACTGAAATGGAGGATGGAAAAGCCTCTTTCTTTAAGATCTCCCCCAACATGAAACTTGGGATTTGAGAAATTTGGTTTTGTCCTTTCCATTTTTCAAAGATTCCTTTTGTTCAGGCAAGTGAAATGAATATAAATAAAAAAAATATTGATAATAATGGTTGTCTGATCTAACATGAAATTTATTACTCAGATCTATTCTACTTCAATCATTGTTGTGATAATTTGCTTTCCTATTGAAGGGATAGAGAAAAATGAAAACCCCATATAAGATAGAAAATGGAGGCTTAAGTTTGCTTGCAATGAGCTTTAAGGTCAGATGGTTGGGTGAAAGAACCAAATAAGATTATTTTCTATCATGTAAGCTTGTGATTAAAAAAAAAAATTAAAAACATTTTAGCATTTGATTCAGTATTTTGGTGCATGATTATTTTACTCATGCTTTGATATTATTTTTTCTTAAAATTTGGGATAAGATCATGATTAATGAAAATCCTTGTCCTAAATTTAATGAAATTTAATGAAATTGATTTTTTTTTACCCAAAACTGTTGAATTGTAGGTTGCCTCCAATGTTGTCTTCAATGGCAAATTTATTAAAGCTAGTGGGTCGGTTTATTTTTCGATGGTTGGCCCAATCCAACAATCTATTCGGCCTCCTTTCAATGGTTGGCTAACTCCAAACAAGTCAGCATCTTCTTTACCACAACCACCGATTCGACATTGGCTTCCAAGAAAAGGATTTATCGTCTGCATGCGAGCATGTTCTCAACCAAACTCACAGCATGTTTTGACAAGATAATACCAATTAATTTTGTTTGAGCCTCGAGTACAATAATTGTTAATAACAATTTCACTTCTAATGGATTTTCTAAATTTTTTTACTTCATTTTCTTTACCACATTTTAATCTATTTTATATTTAATGTGCTAAATCTTCAAATTTTAATCTTCTTTTTGTTTTAATCAATTCTTTTATTCTTTACCACAGAGACAAATACGAGATGATCTCCAAATACATAAATTTACATCAAACAGGAATTTATTTGTTCTCAAATTAAAGGACATGAAATGCCACAGGGCTATGCATGCAGTATACACATTGATTATAGATTAATAACAAGAAAACGGACATTGCTTCCATGAAGGAAACATTATTTTATTTAGTGGATGCACACAATCCTTGTAATTCCTTGCTTTTGCACCAGTTGAGTTTTGAGTGTTTTCTCAATTCGTGATACTCTCTGATCTGGTTTGAAAGTGGATGTTGTAGTTATAAAGAACCAGTGTAAGTGTCACCTTGCACTTCAGTTGTGACAGTAGTTCCGTTATAAAGAGTGTCCCTTTGTGTGTATGTGAAGGGAACATCACACTTACCATTTGTTGGAATTACATCCACTGTCACCTTAGTCATTGGAGGCACAACAACTTTGTGTATAACTTCCAGAACAGTTGTCGAGCTCTTGGTCTCTCCCCACTCCACACCTGTTTGATAATTCTCTCTCTCCATTCGAAATGAGTGGAATTCCAACGTCCAAGGTGGTTTTCATACCTAACTTTAGTGAAAACCTATTCCTCCAAGTTCTAAATGTGGTATCTGTATGCGAAACCTTCACGTCTTAAGTGGTGGATTTCTGGGTATAGTTACTAGCAGAATTCTTGGCCACGGAGAGGATACTTTGGTAGAAATTATCAAGATCATATTTGACATTATAAATTTTCCTCGTCAAGACAGACTCTTCCACCGTTAGGTGGGCCTGTTCAGCAATATTGGAGACGGCTGCATTAAGGCAGTTCGTCTTTCCTTCGAGTGTGAGGGTTTGCAGAAATTTTTGTTGCCCAAGTTGAGAAGACCTATTGTCTTATTGTCAACTTTGACGGGGCGAAGCGAGTTATCCTTGTTGTTGCTGCTCGTGTCATCAGACTCGGCCCAAATCCAATTCGGGTTGCGCTTCCAAAATTTATTGGAAGAAATGGACTTGATGCGGACATTTCCGTCGTCAACAACGAAAATCTCGCATGCCACAGTTGAATCGCCAATATCATCAGTTGCAAACTGCAAATATGGGTGATCCTCGATCTGACGAAGACACAGATAGTTATCATTATTTCCTTTGAATGCCACGAACCTAAGCACAAATTATTTTACTTCGTTTCTTTACTAGATTTTAATCTATTTCATATTTAATTTGCTAAATTTACAATTTTAATCTTTTTTTTTACCATAAGCCAAATACAAGGCAATCTCTAAATCATATAAAATCATACCACAGATGCATTTATTTATTCTTAAATTTGGGATCTTCTCTTCTTTGGTTTGAAAGTCGATATTGTACCTGGCAACTCATTTGTGACAGTAGTCCCGTTATAAAGAGTGTCCCTTTGCATGTATGTGAAGGGAACATCACACTTAACATTTGTTGCAATAAGATGTACCGTCACCTTAGTCATTGGAGGCACAACAACTTTGTGTACAACTTCCAAAACAGTGGTTGACGTCTTGGTCTCTCCCCACTCGACACCTGATTGAATTTCACCAGATAATTCAATATTTCCCTCAAAATGAGTGGAAGGCCAACGTCGAAGGTGGATGTCACGCCTAACTTTAGTGAAAACATAGTCTTCCAAGTACTAGTCCTGGTATCTGTATAGGAAAGCTTCACGTCTAAAGTGGTGGATTCCTGGGTATAGTTACTGTAATTCTTGGCCACAGGAAGATCTGTTTCATCGTAGATCCTGGAATTATCGAGATCATATTTGACATTATAAATGTTCCTCGTCAAGACAGGCTCTTCCACTGTTAGCTGGGCCTCTTTAGTAACAGAAGGGACGGCTGCATTTAGGCAGTTCGTCTTTCATTCGAGTGTGAGGCGGTTGCAGAAATTATAATTGCCCAAGTTGAGAAGACCTATTGTTTTATTGTCAACTTTGACGGAGCGAAACAAGGTGTCCTTGGTGTTGCTGCTAGTGTCATCGGAATCCGACCAAATCCAAGTCGGGTTGCCCTCCAAAATTTATTGGAAGAAGTAGGATTGATGCGGACGTTTCTGTCGTCAGTAACGAAAATCTCACATGCCACAGTTGAATCACCAATATCATCAGTTGCAAACTGCGTATATGGGTGACCCTCGATCTGACGAAGACATAAATAACTATCATTATGTCCTTTGAATGCCACGTACCTAGGCAGAATCAACAAAGGCTCCCAATCAATGATTGTGAAGATATCACAACTATTACTATCACATAATGTGTAGTTGGCCATCACGCAGCGAGGAAATGCTGGATTACTAATCTGCCATAAGCATAAATAGCATCCTGATTGGACATGCTTGATTCGAACCGTAGTTTTTACGGGGTCTACACAGATAAACTTGAACAATGTGCATGACTCCTCGGATTGGTCTTCCTCCTCCTTGTTGGCGGTTGCAGTAATCCAGAAGTACTGCTCCAATGGATTTCCTCTGATGGAAAGATTTTTGGTTCGTACCCAGTATTTGTTGTTCTGACATCTGCTTATGTGCACCAAGCCATCTTTGCCAACAATCTCCACTTCAAATTTGCGTATGGGACTCACAGCTTGAGTTCCTTGAAGCTGAGATACCCCATCAGACTCCCCATCTTCATGGATGTAGCCCAGATAATCGTTCTTGTCATTGGATTTGAGGACGATAAATCTTGGCAATATCAAGTTCATTTTCGGCAGCTCTCTTTCTTTAATTTGAATTTGAATTGATGATCTCTACCAAGTAACTATTAGTTTGCTCTCTTGCTTTGTTTCACTCTTGTGATTGCTTACCACAACCTCATAGGCTAGCTATTTATATCCAAAATTTCTTGCTCCTTTGGAATTGGATGATGGAGAGTGCATTTGAAACGTGCGTATGAAATTTCTACACACCTTCAGGATAGAGATTTTAGAGTAGGATGTACTATATACACTTATTTGTAACATTATATTTGATACATTATATTCGATGCACAGTAAAATTTATAATAGTTAATGAATCATATAAATATAATGATATTTAATTAAAATTAATTTTGAAAATTTAAATTTTTAAAAAGCAAATAAATTTAATTTTAAAATACATTTCTAATTAATTTTTTATAAGGTATCATTGTGTGATTCTATTATAATGTATAGTATTGATACATTAATAGTATATCAAATATAAATTAATATCTCAAAACAATATTTTTTGTAAAATAAAATGATATTTTGAAAATTTAAGAATAAATATACTTTTTTAAATTAAAAAACACTAAGTATTTTTAAAGAATTAAAAAAAAGCGTATAACATATTTTCCTTAAGAGTATGCATTTGCCCTTATTTTGTAGCGTACGCACGTGTCGGCATTTCGTCAGGTTGTATTTTGGAGACAAAGCATGGGAAGAGTTTTCGGGTGATACCTACATGAAGATCAGTTATTTCCTTTGGGAATAATAAAGTTTGGGAGAGTTGTTTTAGATGGGTAGAATGAAATTTGAAATTTACTTAAGCTGATTAATATAATTATTTTTTTTAAATATTATTTTTAAATTCAAATTTTAATAAATATAATTTTTTATTTTTAAATAATTTTTTTTGTACTTAAAAAATGGAAGTGGCCCACAATGATAATATGTTCTTAATTTGACTCATTGTATTGATAAAATTTCAATTTTTTTTTGTAAAATTTAAATTTGGATCTCATTTTTAATAATCTCTCTTGATTATTGATTTTTAAATTTAATATAATTTTTTTAAAATTTACGATTTATTGTAACGACAAAGAGATAATGTCCTACTAACGTAGCTCTGATCAGTCTTAGTTTAGATCCAAAATCAGATCACACTTAATCTTTTACTCACTCAGTTTTAAGTTGCCTTGTTTGCGTGAACATCCTTTCTCTAATTTTCCAATAAAATAATTTTTTTTACTTGAAAGCCATTAAAGGAGGTTTAAATTCTAGAAACCCACGTCTCCATTTAACTTGAAAATAATTGTTTAGTGCGTATGTCACGGACTTAAGGAATAGTTTTAAATCTCACATCAAATATAATAAGAAGGTCACTGGAGTCTAAAAGGGTTCACACTACCTTTTCTTTGTGAGGTGCATTTTGTAGGACAAAACCGTAAGGTCATGAGAATCAGATATGATAATACCTCATGAGGGTATGAACATGACAGGTAGGCTAATTCGAGACACCAGAAGGATGAATGTCCGAATCCTAAAATCATGCGGGTTCGAAATTTAAGTATCGATCCGTGACACATGCACATTTATTTCATATGAATTGAACGTAACACTAAAATATATAAGTAGAAAACATTAACTATTAAAAACGTGTTTTATTGTATTGTTAAATTTGTTGATTCTGATTATATAATTTTGACTCAATTGAATACTATATTCGAATACAAATTTAGTTTTGTTAGACATATAATATAGTTGTTATCCATTCGTCTTGATTTATAATGGTGAATGTACAATTTTTTGATAGCAAATTTGTATTTCCCTACTTCTTGGTAAATAAAATCAAATTTATTTAAAAAAAAAACCACACCTATTTGTACGTCATTTCCAATTTTAATTCATTAAAAGCTATAAAATTAAGCAGAAATTTTTCCCTCTATTATTTTTTATTTTCATATTGTTCAGCGACATAAGCTTCCGTGCCAACCATGGAGCTGTTACGCTTGTGTACAACACTCAGGTAATGGTATATATGTCTATTAAAAGGGGCTCTCGATAAGCAAGATGAATTTTAACCAGTAACCTAAGCTAGAACAACATGCGGAAGATTAATGTAGCAGTATCCTATACATATATATTATTAATATGATGATTAGTTTAGGTTAACTAAGAATTAGTTTAGATAGCATAAATGCTAATTAATTAGTTTTTTAGAGGATGAGAGTTCAAGAGATGTTAAACGCATAATATCGTTTTATTTTGAGTTAAGTAAAGAAGATTTATGGGTTAAGGATAAAAACATGAAGAAATAACGTATAAAAACGAAATTTGACCATGCGGCGACCTCCCACAAGGTGGATGGCGAAGTTTCGGTGGAGAAAGTAATGGAACAAGATGAATCAGGGCGGGGCAATCCAGAATTTTCATTTGAGGTTTGTGAAAAAATTGATACTAGTATTTACAACAATCGACAACTTACGGTGCAGCATCACAGACAACGGTATAATTTTCCCCCAACTCTTGAGGCAATTTGATGATACTACTGTAATGTACAAAAATGGCTTTACAAGCTATGTTGCATAGAGCAATTCAAACAATAATTGATCAGATTGTTTTAAAGAGACAGTCCACTTGCCTTAAATCAAATAGGCCTCTCAATTGATTTTAGGTTGAATGCTTGTGTACAAAAACTATTATTCTTTTCCAAACATAGTAACTCAAAACAGAATAACTGTCTCCTTTTTTCTTTCTTTTTGCGCGTGTGTGTGTGTGTGTGTGTGTGTTAATTTCAGATGCAAATTCAACATTTCAACATAGTCCCGTTGAATTTTCATGAGGTACTGAGGAAGATGATCAAAATCCTGGCTTCCAGGCTTCCAAGATGGAAAATTTGTAGTCAGCTATATCTGTAAAGAAATGGACATTACCTAAACAAACATGCACTGAATTTATTTGTCCCTGAGGTGTTTCATCCTCTTCTTCCCCAGCACTCGATCTCTAAACCTTCTACTGAATCTCCTTTAAACAAATCAAAGCGCTTTATATGCGATGAATTTGGGGGACATTTCGGATGGTTTCGTTTACATCTGCTTCGAGTGTTAGTCAAGCTCGATGTGAAATGTGCAAGATTGGTCAGTACGCTAGAAATCAAAGCCAAGGCTAAAAGACAGGTGGAGAAAAAAAAAAAAAAATGCTATCCCATTTCAGTCATGAGCACATGCTGATACTTGACAAATGCAAGGAAGGTGGACTGCAGTTATTGCTAACTAACAATCTTTGGTCTGGCTGGCTTATTGTTATCCTAGAATGCGATGATATTTATGCTTTACATGAATCTTGTCTTCGATTTCCAAAAAAGATGCATGACCACACCCGCTTCATTTGGTCGACACTCTACCAAAATCTGCCATGCCTGCACTTTCGAATTCGTTGGCATCAGCTATAGTTGTTTCGACTGTCATTTACATCTCCATCCTACATGCCTTAATACTTTGAGTCAGCCTCTAAAACATAACTTTCGAATGCTCACATAATTCATTTTTATATTTTGGGACAGTTGCCAAATTCGGTTTGATGTATATAATTCAAATTGATCTATACAGGCTTTTCATGTTTAGATGTCTCGAAATTTGTACCGAGCCCTTCTATTTCTGCACAGAGGCTGACATAAGGTTTCGTCTGAATGTGCAGAACATCACATTCAGCCACTTATTAGTAAGGATTCATTTGTTGAGGATGTATCAGTAGAATATTATTACGATATTTGCGAGGAAGAAAGATTTTCAGAAAACCACATCTATTATTGTGAAGAATGTCATGGCTTGTTTGTTGCTGACATAGAATGCATGCTTTCTCGTGTAAACTCACATACGATACATATCTACTCCCTCTGGAAAGAATCTTCTGAATCTTTGCTGAAAATTTTGAAAGGAAAAACAATACATAAAAAATAATTTGCAGATAGCAAACAATTTCACATTTTCATACAACATGCATTAATTTGTTATCTCCTATTTACAGGAAAATTTGTTGGTCTAAACATTCTTGACATAGATTTATTGCAATTTACTAGGATTTATCGCTTGTTGGCATGATTGCCTAGTCTAGCTATGGTCTAAGCTATAGACATTTCTTCTCAAGAAGCACCTTTCGGTTGTTACTGTAGCTCTTACCAATCATAACGCTTTGAAAGAGAAATGACTTATTTTAAATAGATTCAAATTGATAATATATACTTCATGCAAAAAATCAACAAGTAATGATCAAGTACTATATATACTACTATATGTTTTTATAACTAATTAAGACTTCGATCAATTGATACTTTTGCTATTCATTTTTTATTTTTTTTTTCTGAATAAATTATTGTGAGAAAACAAAAAATAATTAAAAACAAAAGACAAATAGCAAAAACAAAGTATCAATAATACGGAGTATATTTGCTTCGTATAAAATAAATTTCATGATATATCTTAATTGGGTGCATTAAAGAATTTCAACTTGAAAGTAGATTTTGTGAACCAAATTGAAATGTCGATTGACTTTGTGAAGCAAGTAGATTTAATTAATCAGTTTTTCTTAAGGATTATGTTTTAAGTTACATATGACTGCATATTTTTTGTAATTACTATTCGTCCTACTAAATTGTATATACATATAATTATGTTTGATTTGTATAAATATAAAAATTATTGAGTTACGATTTGTTTTGACACATCAGATATAAAAAATTTATTTTTTTAGCTTTTATCAAATCTATATATAAGTTTTTGTTAATTTTAACCTTGGCGTTTTCTTTTTTTTTTTTTCGTATTAAATCATTATATCTAATTTAAAATTATCGGGTCTAATTAATGTAAATTTAAGTTATAGGCCTATCTTTGTATTTTGAGATGAGAGCTAAAATTTTAACTCTATTTAAGATGATAAACTAAATTTATCACCAATTTTTCAACAAGTGCAATAATAACACTACTAGTTTGTAACCCATGCAATACATGGATTATTTTGTTTAT